AACATGGTCACCAATCAGAGCATGTACTACCATTGAGTCTTAGTCTTAGAAGAGAGTTTGCCCTGTGGGGACCTGACCACTTGCTTTGATGTCTCCTGAGCATGAAACTTGCTTGTCCTTGTAGTAATCAGTTGGACTGCAGTTACTGTTTTGTATTTTTCCTGTCAGTCTTTACCTTTCCTTTTACAATGAGAGAAATGTGGAGACAGGGAATGTCTTCACATACTGGGTCAGACTCCTTGTGGACTAATTTCAAGATGTGTGTGAGATTAATGAAAAGACCCTGCTGGTCTCTAGGCAGCCCCCTAACAATTCATGCTATCAGAGGCAGAGAATCGTGAGTTAATAAGAACATTTTCATTTCAACAGAGACTCAATTCTATCAGCTTTGCTGTGGACCATTTCAAAAAGACACAGTGTAGAGACAGTCTCATATAATGAACTCTTGTGTACCGCCAAGGGCTGCAACAACCCCATCACCATCAGCCTCATTTCATCCGCTCATCAGTGGGGTTCTTTCCTCACATGAAGTCTTTTTATTTTTATTTTATTTGACAGAGTAAAAAAAAAAAACCCTTGTCAGTCCATGGCAGGTTAAGAATGATGTAAAAGTATTGCTGTTGGGTCCCTGAGGCTAAGTCAGTTCTGAGTCACAGTGGCCTCACAAGATAGACCAGAGCTGTGCCGTGGGGTGTCCGAGGCGGTCATCTTTACAGGAGCAGATTGCCAAGAGCCGAAGGGTAGGCTTGAATAGCCTCCCTTTTGGTTAGCAGCTGAGTGCTTACTAGGACTCCTTGCAGTAAAATTGGTGGTTGGTAGCTCTGCAGAATTTGTTCAGACGGAGCCCACTGGAAGGCTGATCTTCAGAGCAGCTAACCCAGGAAGACAGTCTGGCTCCTGGAGATGACAGACCAGGGAAGAAAGGGGATTCAGGGCCATTCTGGAATGTTCTGAGTGAAATCATGCTAGCCAGAGGTTCTGAGATGCTTGGGAAGAGAAAGCATAAAGGCCCCAGAACTGTGTTTTCTCAGAAGGACCTTTTTCTAAGTAACTGGGCTCTGTGGGCAGATCAGTCAGCAGCCCCTTGCTGCTGTGAAGTTCATCATCAGCTTCCCCAGGAAGGAGCAAATTATCCTCGGTTCCCGCCAGACGGACTCTTTCCAGGGATGAATGTCTTTATCATCAGGCTTGATGCTCCCAGAGAAAACAAGGGCTCGCTCGTGTGCAACTCTGCTGACATCACATCCCAGTTTGCTACAGAAAAATGACTCCACAAACGTGCTCCCAGCCCCGCTCTGCGTCCTCCGGCCTCCACACCCACGTTGAAGGATCTAGGAGCCAACGTGATGTCTGCAGAGACACCTGCTGGGGCTGTTTGCTGTCTTGATTGCTTTTACTGTTGTTGTTGTTGTTAAGTGCTGTCAAGTCGGTTCTGACTCATTACGACCCTGTATAGGG